CGCTGCGGGCGTGCTCCGAGGCTTTGCTCCCCGTTTCCCTGGTCTGCTGGTCAGGAGACGGGGAGCAAAGCCGCGGAGCACGCCCGCAGGGGGACAGCTCAAGCGCGCCCAGGCTGTCCCGCTGCGGGCGTGCTCCAAGGCTTTGCTTCCCGTCTCCCTGCAGACCAGGGAGACCGGGAGCAGCTTTTCTTGCCCCGGAGGACGGGGACGGCGGACTGCGGTGCATCTGGGCATCCCGCCGCTCCCGTCCTCCGGGGTGAGAAAAGCCCTGTTCGTAACTGCGGATCCGACATAAGTCGGATCCGCGTAACTCGGGGACTGCCTGTAACAAAAACACTACTACTAAAGTGAAGAAAATACAGCTCTGTATGATGCTGGACCAATAGTTTCAGTGTTAACTAAATTATGTTGAGGATATTTTTTTCAGAAAAAGATACAGTAGCAGCCACCCATAAGTGTCAATCTGTAAAAATACATTGTTCTCTTAATTGTCTCTTCACACTTTTTTTTTTTTACTTTATTTTGAGGAGCATCATTAATTTTAGTTCCAAACTTGCCTCCAGTAAAACTTAAATTTTGGTGATCCTTCTCTTTCATTGTTGGGTAATTATGCATGTCAGAAGGAAAAACTCATGAAACTTCTAGAAAGTCACTTACTGTAAAGGAACAAATCCCACAGTTAGCCTTTTGCACAAAATACAGGGGTTGAATCTTTTTCATACATTGTCTTGCTGAGAGGTATGGTGATGGTAGGTTTGCAGAATGAAAAATGTAATGAAAGAGGAGGTGGTCTACTTTGGAACCTGCAAATGTTGTGACTCGTCAATTTTTGTAACTTCTAAATGTTAGCAATACTTTTGGCTATTTTAGTGTTCAAAATTTTGCAGTTATGTTAACTGTTTATAAGGTCATCAGGGTTAAAAACTTCATTGATTTGTTCCTCTTTTGGTCCCCGGCTTTTCCCTCCTCCTCAATTTCCAGTTCATAGCTTATTCAGTTGTTCCTACACATTGTCCTTTTACGGTTATCCAGGACTAGTCTGTGAGATCTGCAACCATGGGTGATTCTTTGAGGGATTGCTCATATACATTCCATTTAGGTGCATGTGCGCTGTATGAATGATTGTCGGAAGGTTTTTCCCTTAGCGGTATCAGTTGGGTTGCCTGTGGATCCGCCTGGACTGGCTCCTTTATGGAGTTGCGTATATATACCCCTGCTGACCCACTGTCCACTGAGGTTTTTTTCTTACTGCCTGTGCCTGTTGTTGGAGTGTCTTGGTTCTTGTGTTCTGCAAGTGCTTTTCCTAGAGGTCATTTCTTTTTATTTCCTTATATATACTTGTTGGGCATCTTCCCCTATCTCCGTTTCTTTGGATGGGGCACGTCTCAGACTCAGGGCGTAAGCCCTGTGACAAGTGCTTGCAGCAGATGCCACGTGTTGTGACCCTGTCTTAAGTGTTTTGGATAGGATCACCAATTGGACAAGTGCAAAAGCTGAAGAAGCTTCAAGCCCTGAACAAAGGAGAAGGATTCTTGGCTGAAATGCTTCCTCTTGGAGGCAGCGCTTAGTCTGTAGCTGACATCGGAGGTGGCCTGGCAGCTTTTGTGTGCAGCTCATTGGCATAGATGCCGGACCCCCTCTATACCGACGATCTCTGGCACTGAGGCCTAGTGGGAGTGTGTAGCACTGTTCCCAGTCACCGGTGCCAAATAAGAAGAGTGGAAGGGGACTGCTCTCTGACTCTGTATCCCAGCGGAGTGCTTCCTCAGTCAGGACACTAAGTCTGCTGCACATGCTACACAGCCATTGACTGTGGCTATCCGTAGGGAGCTGTTGAATCCAATGTGGGTAGACTCTCCCAGGCCTGAGGACATGGAGCCGAAGACCTAGACATCCCTTCTATGCAGGAAGTATTTAAGGGACTGATAAAAATTGATCCAGTCCCCAGGCTTGTCCTTCAGAGCCCTTGCACTGCATTCCTCAAACATTGCATTACGAGCCCCAGCACTGATTGTGGCATCGACTTCAGCGGTACCAATGCTGGCATGGGCCACAGACCCACTATTACTGAGTTCTTGGTCTGCTCCTGTACGCCACTCTTCCCTAGCACTACTGATGGTAGCACCACACATCCGACATCAGAGGAAGCCAATGATGTTGAGCCAGAGCTCCATGTTGCCTGGTCTGCCTCCGAGTACTCCTCCCACGGGGAGGCAGAGTTGTGTTCCTCAGGCTCCATAGCTGCCCCAGTGGCAAGGGCCCATGCAAAGGCTCTTCTATATCCCATGGGCATACAGTCAGGTTCAGGGCCCCCCAGAGTCCAGAAGAGCCATTGCATGTCAGTGCTATGCAGAATCCTGTCAGCCACATTGGTTTCCAGGAATGCAGTGCCAAGCCTAGGCACAGGCAGACTCGTGCTAGACCCTGGCCATCTCTGGCAGGTAGAATGACATCAGCCTAGGACCTGGCAATGGTGGTGGCAGTCCAGGATGCTGCCTATGTCTCCCCCTTCTCCCACTGTGGTAATCATTGCTGTCTTCCCCAGATGCAGTGATAACAGGCACAGCTATCTCCCTCCCTGCTAAGGATTCCAGGGCTCCCCAGGACCTTCTTTGCAGGGTTACCCAGAATGTGAGAATTCTGACAGAGGAGGTTGCAGAGGAGTTTGACCCCATGGTGGTGGCACTATCCCTTATAAAAACAATTGCCAATACTGTTAAGAGTCTTTGTCAAATCCCAACCTCCATTCCACCCAAAGACAAAGGGTGAAAAATGCTGCTTTGTCCTGTAAAAGAGGCATAAGTACCTATTCATGTACTTCCCCACTGTGAACTCTGGTATTGGATGTTGCTATTCATGGGGTGGCAGGGGCAGCCGGGCTCTATACCGATGTCCAAGGAGCCATCAGCTCCGCACCTCTGGTGAACAGGCGGTGCTGAGCAGATACTGCTCCTGGTCATCCCTTGCTAAATTCAAGGAGTTGCTCCCCTCTGATGCCCTTGCAGACTGAGAGTCTGAGAGTCTATGGAGGTGACCATTTTGAGTGTTAATATCATTCTTCACTCTTGATTCTGTAGACTTGCAGGAAAGATAAAATATCCTAACATTTACCAGTATGTGCATATGCAGCTCTCCAGCAGATGCATTTGAAGAATTATCACTTAAGAAATCTTCAGATTTTGAGAACTGCTCAAATAGGTGGGCTGCAGTTCTGTACCAGATGAAAATAGCCCTAATTATCTTGCTTATCTTCTCCAAAATCTTAGCCTGTATTGTAAATACTATATTGCAAAGCACTGAGAGCTGTTGTGGTCTGTCATGACAGTAGTCCTTTGAAAATACAAGTTTACTTCTTGTTGAAGTTATACATTTTCCAAAGCAGCCAGGGTGGTCTGCCTTAAAGAATGGGAAGTGTTCAGTTTTCTGTTTGTTTCTTTCTTGAAAGTGTTGAGTTTTGAAATTTTATAATCCATCAATTTTACATTTTGCTCTGGTTTAATTTTTTTTTGTTGTGTTTTGGCAATCATAGTGGCATAACTGTAACAAATATATATTTAACTGTATAGGGATGTTTACCATATGTTAAAGTTTATTTGATACTGCCACGAAAGCTATAATTTTGAACGTATAGCTGCTTTCCAAAAGAGTAATTTTCCTTACAAAAATAGAGTTTCTGTTGTTAATCACTGATACTTGTGTGTCTAGTTCTAGTACCTTATGCTTATCTAATAGATATCTTTAGAAAGCTGAATGTAAACAACCTTAGCTAGCTGTAAGAGTTTAGAATACCAAAAAAGATGGTTGTTTCTACTGAATAGTCTAAATTCTCCATTGAATGGCTTCTTCATATTTCCACTCATGAAATGCACCAGCTATGTGCAACTCAGATATTGGAACCTGACTAGCAGTGCCTGTTGGAATGCTCATATATCCCTGAATGTTCTAGGAGCAAGACTACATGGGTCTCTAGCCATTTCAGTTCCTTTCACTTGCCAACTATGATGGATTAGGAATCATTCTGGACCTTCGGTCCCAAACTTTCTATTAGATGATGCCAAATTAGTCTGAACATTCTGTTCTTTAGATAACTACTTATTGCTTTTTTAAATAGGTACTGTTATTCAGTTGTTTAGTATAGGGTTTTATTGACTTAATTTGTATTATGGTTAGTATTGCGTTTTTCAGCTTTGGTTCTGGACTAAGACTTTATGATGGATTTGAAGATCAGGTAACTAGGTTTGAAATGCTATGCCTCTTGCTCTTTGCTTTTTGCAGTGTCAGAAGCATAAACACACTTCCTTATCTGCATCAGTGAAGGAAATTCAGACTCCATATGTTTCATCTGCAACACCTTTATCCTGAGATCATGATAGGAGAGACAGAACAGATGACAAGCTTTACTCCTTTGAGAGATGCTTACTGTTCAATTTGCTAGGCTAAACTGCAGCGTTCCTTCTAATCTTTTCCATCCATGTGCAGATTTCTTTCACCCATTTGCAGAATAAAATTTTTATGTGCACCGAGGCATATGTGAATCTACATCACCAGTAGAAATAAAAAAACCTAGCTGTGGTCACTCTGATAATCAGCTGGGTGACATTTGGATCTTTCTTGAGTGGCCGTACAAGTGCACAGCATATAGGGAATGCTGTTTGACAGTATGGTTGGATTGTCATGGGGCCTCCCCATGTTTTATGAAAATTGGCTCATGAATATGCATAACTTGAGGAAGCTTTAGACAACATACCTCCTGTAACACATCACTGTTAATGTTACAATCTGCTGAATGTGTGTATCTTATTTTTGTGCATGTATCATTCTTGTACTTCATATTTCTAACTTCATGTATGAATCTGTTTATAGTTCTAATGTGCTAATGAGGGACAATAGTGATATTTCAAGAACCCAGTCATGCATTGCTTAAACCAACGACCAGTGAATGGCCATGTTTGTCCTATACGCCCAAATTGTGTGTGTTCCTAGAAAGACATGACTATGCCATCTGGTACTGGAATTCATCTTGAACCTTGTATTTTTCCATGGACATGGTGGGTATCGAACAAAGGATTCCCTCCCTGGGACAAAGTCTGTTTAAGCAATGGGAAGCCATTAGTCCTTTGTTTTCAGCTAAACTTTGAAATTGCCTGGCCCACCCTAAGATGATACGTAACAATGACGAACTATGAAAAAGCTTTTAGACCCAAATTAAAAATCAACTCTGATTTGAAGCATTTCATTTGAGATAAAATCATTTGTTTAGGGTAAGAATTTGTACATGGAGCAAGTTTTTTTTAGAGCTTAGCTAATCATTTCGGTTCATTTGACGTTAGTAACTTACTTTAATCTGTTTTCACTTGCAACCATGTAAATCCTCCTTTTTATTCTTAATAGAAATACTTTTGTTTGTTATCAAGCCCAGTGTAAATAATAGTTAGCTGGAGTGGGGAGCAGCCATTGTGCATCTCTCTCTTTTCATGGATAAAGTGGGTGGACGTTATGCCTTTTCCCTGTGTAAAATTTTTGCACACTGCAATATGGATTTGTTTGGTCCCTTTTAAGGAGTTGGTTTCCTGGGTGTTGATCTGGAGGGGGAACAGTTACCCTGCCTCTGTGCCTGGTCTGGGAGAGACCAGAGGATTTGGCCCAGAAGAACAGGGTGGTTGGGAGCCCCAGAGAGCAAGAAGGTTGGTGTTAGTGGCATGATCAGCACACTGGGGGACCACCCCAACAAGATTGCTATGATTCAACCCATCACAGTATGATTGGCTCTGAAAGAGGTCATAGACCAGTTTTGATAAATGAATATGTGGATAAGACTCAATGTTATAATGTGTTGTCAGTACCAAAATCTTAATTGGATCTATTTTCTAAGAAAATTTGAAAAGATCGAAAACTTCAGATCAGAAATCTGAGGGATTAGTGGATAATTTCCTCTTTGAGCAGAGCCAGTCCACAAACAAGAACTTCTTTGAATCCTGTTGCATCAGAACAAAGTAGAGGATCGTTACCTGGAGGTGGCGCTAAGAAGCACCTGATTGTGATGGGGTATCCCACTTTGACACTAGTTTCCAGAGATACTGATCTTGTACAGGAATCATAGTATTCTGAAGACTCCATCATCAAGATGACACAGGGACATAACAAAGGGCAGAACTGGATGTGTGTATTGATTCTCATCTTTTTACTTCACATCCTTTTGTGGGAGCTGTGCAAATCAATTGCTCAAATGCCTCTTCCTTGGTTCGATCTAGAGCGTGAAGGTCTACAGAAGAGATCTCCAGAATCAGCTGTAGCAGAAATGGCCACAAACAATAGCTTTCTGTGGTTTTAGACTGTGTGTCTTGTCAACTCACCGGGCCAGGGCCCAACAGGATTATGGATTAACTTCAAGACAGAATTGATTAGTAATAGCTGCTGTTATTAATCTCACTACGTGACTACTATTACAGGCTTAATACCTCCAGATGGTTACACAACTACTGCGAAGTAATATGCCAATAAGTACAAGCAGAGCAATGCATGAGAGAGCAAACAGGCATTTGGAAATGCTTATGCCCCTTCAGTCTGCAGGGAGTCCCGTTCTGGTCACCTTGTACCAGGCTACAGTGGATGTGGCTCCAGCTGGGGGGGATCCAGGGCACCCTTTGAAGTCTAGGTCCCTGATGAGTCTCACCAGGGACCTGGGACTTCCCTTACTACAGTTGTTTACCGGGTGTGTGTATGCTGGCCCAGTGCCACACTAAATGTCCCACGGGGCTGAGAACTGAGGTAGTGTTGTTTATCCCATACTTGGCTCTCAGCTAGCAAGCACAGGGAGTTTAAATTTAACTGCTGCAGGCCTTCATGTGTCTCTTTATGTGGCATATGTAATGTATGCTGTCTTAATTTATTTCCTGTCAATGGATTTTTGTCTGATCTTCAGTGTAAATAAAGGTACAGGTTGGACCTCCCTGGTCTGGCACCCTCAGGGCCTGACTGGTCCCAGGTGAGGGATTTTGCCAGACCAGGGGAGATCATTTTTGGAATCCCTGCTTCCAGCCCGCTGCCCTCCTGGCTGGCTCCTCACCTTCTGCTGGCCCCACTGCTTTGCTAACTCTCTGGGCAGCCATCTCTGCACTGGCTCTGGGTCCTGCTGAGCAGCTGTCTGTCTATGCGCCAGGCAGCCACGGGCGTGTTTCCCAACTCTGCTGGGCAGTCCTACTGCCTCGTGCTGGTCAGCTCACTATGAGCTGCTTGCTGCCTTAATGGCCCCACAGGGATCCTTGCCATTGGCTCTCCACCGAGACTCTCATCCTGCAACATCTGTGCTGGACCATGGATGTTGCTGTACCAGAGAATCCTGGTTAAGGATTTCAACCTGTATAAATTATGTCAGTTTTAGCTACAAGTAATCAATGTGTAAGATTGTTTATAGGAAGGTTTAAAAAGTTTGACTCCAAGTATGTTTTAAAAGTAACCTACAAATCTCACTGCAAAATATGTTTGGATGCTCCCAACTGCCAGTTTAAGAGATGACTAGGCAACAAGTTATAATTGTGAAAAGATTTGCAGGTCACTGGCAAATGACAAGATTATTAAATGAATAGGTGCTATATATAACAGATGGATGTTGGCATTCACATTTTTAATGGAATTATCCTGGAACCTTCACTAAGGCCCCATGTATACATATGTATTCACAAAGATGCTTTGTTCTACCTATACAGATGCAGCTTGCAGAATCAGGAGTCAAATGATGAATAGAAACCTGCCCTGAATATTTAGATATCTATTAATTTTTCCACTGTTCTTCTCTAGTATTTCCATGGATCATATTGTGCAAATGTGATGTTGATGTTTATTTAGACTTAGATTTGAAACTTGATGTGTCAGTAAGTGATGAATGTTCATCCTTTAAGTAGAGCTGACAGAAAATGAAAGAATTTACCAAAATTTGTTTTAATCAGTTGTCAATATTTCATTTTCTCTTAATCAATTTTCTGACACTTTCAGTTTGCTGAATTGAACAATAAGTGAAATTAATATCTGCACCTGAAGCAATGAATAGCCTTTTCTCTATAATACACTGATGTTACTTGAGAATACTAGTAAAATTCTAGAGACTAGTACTTGTCACTAGGGATGTTAACTATCGGTTATTTTACTAGTCAAGTAGACTATGGAATTAACATTGACTAGTCGATAGGTACTTCCACATTCCTTCTTTGAAATGTACAAGAGTCCCCGCTGGGGCTCTTATACTTTTCAAAGGAGGAACGCGGAACTCCGTGTGCAGCCCGGGGTCAGCGGAAATTCCCACTGACTCTGGGCTACACGCGGCATGCCAGCTTTGAAATGTACAAGATTTCCCAGTGGGGGCTCTCATGCATCTCAAAGCGGAAGGGTAGCATGGAGCCCGGGCTTGATGCTGCGCTGACCACGGGCTTGATGCTGCGCTTCCGATTTGAAATGCACGAGAGCCTGGGATCAGTTGGGGAGTCCCAGCTGACCCTGGGATCTGCGCAGCGCTGCTGCTTGGAAGTACCCCCTTTTTTCCCCTCCCTATTCTGCCCCTATCTGATTGAGGCAGCAAGGGGGAGGAAATTGACTGGTCTACTGACTATCTGATAAGCATTTGCTTATTGGATAGTTGACAAGTCCTTAACATCCTTACTTGTCACATAGTAATAATTGGTATTGTGAAATACGTATTTTGTTTGAATGATTTCCCTAATGCAATAGAGAACTCAACATCAAAGGAGGCAAATCAAATTTAGGTTTTACTGCAGATTGAGATTACTTCTTGAAATTCCTGATTTATAATTCTATTGAAGATAATTTTGAAAGGGAATTTCTTTACAAATATCCATTGGTTTGGGATTTGGCTCAGTTCTAATTGAGTGAACTTAAGATGTCTTATAACAATCTTAGTGTTCTGAAATTGGGATATTTCAATTGGATGGCATGTTCTAACTTTTACAGTGGAATCTATCCTGTGTAAATATTAGACTGCATCAAATAGCTTACTTATTTTCACATTTCAGTTTCTTTTAATTCACACTTTTTTCTAAAATTCTATTTTCTAGTATTCCGTCCAATTTCTGCTAAAGCCAAACTCCGTATGAATCCTCGATCTGATTTTGACTTTTCTTCACCAAAAATGGACTTGGATGTAAATTTACAGGATATAGCCATTGAATTCAATAAACCCCAGGTAACATTTTGTTGGTAAAATTCAGCTGATTCAGTTAAAAATATGAGTGGATTTATTAGTTTGGGATGTCTTTTCCTGAGATTTACAGAATTAATAAATAGCACAAAAACTTTCTGAAAGAGAGGTTCTATTAAAAGGAACCTACTAAATTAAACCTCTTTGAACCTTACTGTGCTTGACTTTAAATAGTATTACTTTGGATACATTTGAGTTTGTATAGTATTACTATCTTTCTGCTAATCAGACCATTTTGGTATGTTTTGCATAGTACTTCAGTGTAATGGAGCTCCTTGAGTCTATTGATATGATGACCCGAAATCTGCCATATAGGAAATACAGACCTGATGTTCTTCTGCACAATAATGCCAAGATATGGTAATATCTCTTTAAAAGCTTTTAAATCTTATTTGTTTTTTTTATAAGTTGCTTACTTGAAATCATTTTCTGATCATTGTTTTCCTCTTTAAAGAAGAGTGTGTTGCATAAATTCTTTGCAGAAATTTTTGCTTATCTGGATTTTACTTTATATATTTGGTAGATCTCCTCATTGCACATCCAAAGTAAACTTGTGGCATCTTGGAGTGTATTGTGATTTTAACAGGGCACCATGCTACAAATTTTTCTTGTTGCCATCACAGCTTCCACGAAACTGATGATACATTGATTCTTGACCATTTCTGTATACTTGGAGCTTACAAGGGAAGAACTGATCTTAATGGATATGTGATGATATAATAGGAATATACATATCCACAAACCAAAATGAATTAATGCAACTGCTTTTCTTCCTAAATGTCAAGGATAACAGTAAGCCCCAGGAGACAAAACTCACTTTTAAATAGCTAGGATATGGTTAAAGCGGGTTTTACTACAGCTGTCATTCTAAGAATACTACCCTGTGTAGATCCTCCCTCAGTGTCTTCTGAGTATGAGTTTAAGGGTTTCCGTAATTATACTCTAATTTTTAGTAGTTTATAGTTTTAAAAAAAAGTGAATAGTTGAGAAACTGAGAGCTAAATACAGCATACTTGCTCAAAGCTTGTAGCTAGTGTCGTGGACAGCATATTTCTGTTTGACTCTGATAGCATCCTAGTTTTTATGCTGTGATTTGTGGATGAAACTCCAATACTGCATTGAAGGTCACTAGTTGAAGAATGCTATTGTTCACAATAAATAGTTAGATCTTTTGTAGGGAGATGAAGATAAAGTAGTAAACTGAAACTTTTAAGTGATACCCTTTTGTTGGACCAGAGGACTGATTTTTGACGAGGTGTTACACCGTTGCAAAACTTGGTTCTATCTTTTTGGAGATAAGTCAGTGTGGAATAGGGAAATGAGTACTTTTATCTTTTATTGATGTATAACAAACACTTGACTTTGGTTTTACATCAGGTGGAAATACATTATTAATGGTATTCTTGAAGTGAATGTTCGACCCAAACTTAATATGTGGTCATGGGAACACATTCGACACCATAGGAAACAAGTGAAGAACTACAAAGAAATGTATAAAATGAAGATAACATCAAAGAAACCCAGTGAAGAGATTGTAAAATTGTTGGAGGTTAGCAATTTTCCCTTTTGATATTGAGCCCCAAAATTTAAGTGTCTTGTTAATTTTTTTAGACCTAAAAGGTCAAACATAGTCAGAAATTCAGTAGTAAAATCCAGTAAAATTTATTAAAGACCTTAGATTACAAACTTATTCATTTTAACTAGTTATATGCTTTGTAAGTAGCATAGTGGTACTAATTAGCAGGGCTCAACAAACTGCGGCGAGAGCTTACTCGCCAGCTCCGCATGTGCACAGTGCCGGTGAATGGGGCGCACGGAGCGACCGGCTGAAATCTACTCGCTACTGGCGAGTAGAAACAGCAGTTTGTCAAGTCCTGCTAATTAGGAATGTTAAAATCCATTTAATTTAGTAATTTTTCAACAGTTACACTTGGGAGCAGGTGGTGCCCATCAGAGGCAACAGCTTATGTGTGTGGGGGCGAGAAGATGGCAGCTTGGAAGTTTATTTGCACAGAGATGTGATGTAAGCCAGCTCTCCGCCCATACTGGTTCCCACCTGCCCCATTGTGCTGCTGTCTCTGTATCAGAGACAGTAGCGCAAGGGGTCACACTGCTCTCTGGGAGCCAGTACATGCATACCTGGAGCATCCATTTAACTGTGAAGGTTAACTGATGAGCCCAAGCTCATCGATTAACTGTGTACATGGTTACACTTTCACATTCCCAGTACTAATTATGTTGAGTTAGGGTTGCAGAAAGTCAAGTTAATAGAGTGAGGAAAACTGGTGGTTGCATTCCTCTGAATCTTGTCTTCAAAAGCAAAATACTTGGATTATGTTGAAAGATCTATATACTATATAAGGAAATATAAGAGTATAATTATTAGAGTTTTATTAAATAGCTGCCATGCTGAATCAGAGCAGTAGACAATTTAGCCTAGTATCTGGTTTCCAGAAGAAATTTATAATGGAGCTTATGGGAGAGTACGGTAAGCTGAGCAGTTAATATTCTATTTTTTTCACTTTTTAGGAATTTGAAAAGACTCTGGATATATTTAACATCACTCTAGCAAGACAACAGGCAGAAGTTGAGGTAAAATGGCTATTAAGCTCGTTGAAAATAAACAATATATGAAAAGCGATTTTGAGGAGATCTTAGGCAGATAAATTATTTTATTTCTGCCTTTTAATTGTAAAGTTGGCTTAGTTGCTCATTGTCTTCCTGCCTTGGATTGATAGTACATGTGAATAATTGGGCTGAGTCTGTTGTCAAGAAGCATCCTGAGTGGACAGAACTCAATGGCCCCCTAATCTTCTTGAAATACCATGAGCATTTCCCCCACCTTTTTTTAGCACCAAGGCTTGCTCTGGATATATAATAAAGAATTGCATAACATACCTTTTTCTCAGTTGAACTACACACTTTAGTCTTTTCCTTCTGGAAAAATGACTGGGACTCAAAACACTATTTCATGTACACTACAAAGTTCCTGAAATATTTGATTACTGTTGGCAGATGGTATCCCACATATATAAGTAATACAAAATGACCACACACTAGTAATCACGTATGGTCAGATTTTTCCACCTTTACTTGGTAAGTAGCAAACTTTTTATTAGTGTTATCTTTTCAAGGGTTTGTACTGTTGGCATTTAACATAGCACTTGAACATCTGTTATAGAAAATAGATTGGAAATAGAAAAGTGTATACTGGATTTCATAGAATCTTGGCTTTTCTCCCTTAAAACACTACTCTGAGAATAAGGGTGGCAAAAACTAGCTCATAGTGAGTTGATAGATCTCATAAGTCTTATGCTACAGCGATGCTTCTGATCTTGGATCTAAAACTAACTTTATCAGTAGAAATTCATAAATGTGAACTCTCTAGACCCTATGAATTTAGAGTTTTATAGCCTAGTTTGTAGATGTGTTTTTGCTTTAGCTTATCTTTTTGATGGTATACTGTAGCACAATAGTGCATTTGTGTGCTTAATATACAGATAGATAATTTATATTATAACCTGCGTATGAGCAACTTTCTCTGGTACCATTCAATTTGGCATATTTGAAAAAATAGGAAAAGTTGAATGAAGAAACAAAATAGAAAAAAAATTCATATCTGATCAAATGCTATTGTTATGAGCGCCTTCATTTCAACATGGGGATCAAAATGGAAAGAAGTTATCTGGCAGCAGCAGAAGCCAAAGCTCAGTCTAAGATGCATCTGGCCTTAGAGCTACCTGAGCAACTGACCCCGGAGCCAGCCAAACTAGCAGCTGCAGAAATCATGGAGATGGTAGAAATTCATGGAATCTGTTACTTCTTTGATCTCTGATGTCATTAGTTGTATCAAATCATCTAGGCAGCAAAAAGATGTGCCAAATTTAGGGCAAAGGGTCTGTTTAATTGATGTTTTAATGGTTATACCAACAAATGAGAATCCTTCCCCTTTTTAGAAAAGTTGATTAATTTTAATTATTTAAATCAAGGTTTTCCACTTGATAATTTACTCAGCTCATTCTTTAGCAGGGGGGAGAAACTACAAAACAATGTACAAAATATATTTAAAAATATTATTTAGGTTACAAAGTCAAGCACCTGTAAATTAGGACTTGCTAGTTCTCCAGTTGTCGTAATTTTGTCTGTGTATACAAACCTTAATTTTCATAGAATCATATCAGATGAGGTATGGAAGAGACCTCAGGAGGCCATCTAGTCCCAACCCTCTTCTTCTCAAAGCAGGACCAGCCTCAACTAAGTCATTCCAGCCAAGGCTTTATCAAGCATGACTTAAACCTTTATGGATGGAGATTCTACCAACTCCCTAGGCAACCCATTTCAGAGCTTCACCACCGTTGTAGTGAAATAGTTTTCCATAATATCTAACCTAGACCTCCCCTATTGCAACTTGAGACCATTGCTTATTGTTCTGTCATCTGCTGCCACTGAGGATAGCCTTGCTCCATTCTCTTTGGAACCCCTCCTTCAGGTAGTTGAACACTACAATCAAATCCCTTCTCATTCTTCTGCAGATTAATTATGATGAGTTCCTTCAGCCTTTCCTCATAAGTCACATGCTCCAACCCCCTAAACATTTTCATTGTCTTTCACTGGACACTATCCAGTTTGTCCATATCCTTTCTGTAGTGGGGGTCCAAAACTGGATGTAATACTCGAGGAGTGGCCTCACCTCTGCCACATAGAGAGGAATAATCATGTCCTTTGATCTGCTGATGCAGCCCAATATGCTGTTCATTCTTTTGCCTCAGTATATATGAAATGTGATTATATGGTCTTTAAAAATGCAATCAAACGCTATTTTTACAGGATTAACTTCATTAGTCAGTGCATAGTTTGGATGGCCAAAGAGCGAGAACTGAGGCTGTATGAACAAACCTAAATGTGGCCTTTCCTGGCTTTGTAATACTTGACTTTATGTTCTAAATAACTTAATTTTAATGTACATTTTGTATGTTGTATAATAAATATATTAAATTATCATGGAATATTTTGTGTAGTTGGGTTTGAGAGAAGAATGCCTGGCTTATGTGGAAAGCTTATAATAAAGGCATTTGGTGACTTGAAAGAGATTAATTTTCTTCCACTTTATCACTCACTTCACTGAGTTACCTTAATGAAAATTGAGACATGATTTGATATTGGGTCTACTGTGTCTGAAAAACTATACAAGAATATAAACCAAAAGATAAATGTCATCTTTGTCATGAATTCATTCCTTTTGCTTTGGGACACTGAATCATGACCTGTATTTATATTTTTTACCTACTCTTTAACACATGTATAGAATTTAACTGAGCTATTTTAAAATGACAGGTAACTAAAGCTGGATTAAAGATTTACAGACCAGGCGTAAAACAAGATGATGAAAATTCTGGCGGTTGGTTCAGTTGGATATGGGGTTGGGCAGGAGAAAGAAATGATGAGACGAAACAAGAAATAAAGGGTGCAAGTATGTCTTATTTTATTTTATTTTAGTAGTAGTAATTTTCTCTCACCATAAATTGGACTTGATGGAAAAGCTGGTCTATACCAAAGAGTCTTGAGTTTTTTGTAATGTTGCTATTAGAAAATGTCCTATAATCTTTGTTGTTAGACTTTCTTCTATTGTTATTCTCAAGGATGTTGTTGCACATTGAGAAGTCTCTAGGTTTTTAATTGTATTTTGTATAATTCTTTTTTTCTTTCCGCTCTTGGCCATTGTTTGAAGTTTGCATCATCCTGCTCTACTAAAAATGGGGCATTGGAGAGATAATTTAGTCAGAAAACATTGGTTACTGAAAAGTAACTTATTTAATTTTTTTACACTAATTCCCTTTATTAATCTGGTCATATTACGTATTTTATTACATTGCAACTCACTTAAATGATTATCTGGTAGATGACCTGAAAGGATTTGGGAATGGGGAAGCAAAGCCAAAAAATCTTTAGGTTTATGATAGAAAATTAGGAAGTGGATCTGTTTGGATTTAAAATAGAACTACTGTATTTTTAAACCATAATTTAGGAGACTTGTTTTCAATGAAAGTTTTTTGTGGGGTCTCAACTGTATATTTACTATTCTGTTTGCTTTGGTGGAGTGAGGGTAGAAACCCTTAAACATCATAAGACTAGATGAAGTAAAGGGAAGCCCTGATGAGTGGAATACATTTTAGTTGTAAAATACTTGTTTGTGATCCTCTGAACTAGTTTATTTAAACTCTAGAGAGACAGTAAGGTTAAAATCAAAAAATTAGGCAGTCACAAAATGCCTCTTGAAACTTGAGAATTTGAATCCATTTATTTTTTTATTTCTAACCCCTGCTAATTAAATATAGTTCATAATCTTTGCTTAAGGAATAATTTTAAGACTTGTTGGGTTCATTTAAACAATTGTCATTTAAACAATTGCACAAATTTTCGAAAAGAGAGACCCTTAAAATGGTCTTCTTTGGATGCAGACAAGCAAGTTAAGACAGTGTTCCCTTTAAGGTGTGGGGCAGCACAGCTTCACAGGTGATTAATCAGCCCCTCCTAGTTAGTCAGCTGGCCCTAAGCCTCTGATTGGTCAGGGTTGTTTAATGACCTGTGAAGGGGTATTGTTGAGTAGCTTAGATGGAACACTGGTTAAGACCTCCTTTCATTTGTTGTTCTTTGTACAGCAGCATGATAGGACATGAGATTATGCCAGTGCAGCAATGTCTCCTCTGTTAGCTGTACGAAATCTTCTGAAATGCATCCAGCAGGAGACTAAATGGGAGGATTATAAGGAATGGTAAATCAGCATTTCTAATAGCCTTTTGTTAAATTATGTATTTACTGATTGATCTGATAGGGTGAGTGTGTGGCAAATACTTGCTGTCATAGTATTCAATACTAAGGTTTCTCAGGAGTTACTTGAAGAAAAGGAAATAAAACTTTCAATAAAACATACAATTTTGGGTATGAAATGTGATTGCTGATCTGGGAGTCATTCAGATGCAGTAGCAGTGCAGAGGGAGGGCTCTTGTGATGGTCAGTGACTTCAACTTCAGTTTGATTACACACATTCTGATTTTTCAGACTGTGTTGTTTCCATTTTGAACACACACAAGGCTGTGTTAAGAGAACAGTGTTAGGTTTCAAAGTCAAGCATTTAAAATTAGGAAATGCCAGTATTTGCCTGTGGAACCTTAATTTGCATTCCACCCATCTTGTGCATAGGTATTGTGTGGCAATCTTTAATTAGACTGACTTGTTCTTGTTGATCTATAACAATTCATTAATAACACCCGTGAAAACTTTCAGATGGTCAACTATAAGGAAAATCCATTACATATTTTCTGTAGTAAGAAGGCAGTGGCTGAAGATTTTTAAATCTGTTGTGAAATCTAAACCAACTATTTTTGGATTAATTTCCAATATGAAAGTTTAGCTTCTAAATTCTTCTTCTGACAAGTTTTAGCCAAATACTTTCAGACCAATTGCTTTATCCCATCCCTATTGATTTTCAAATCTAAACATGAAACCTTAATTGCTGCCTCCATAATAAACTTTTCCATTTTTAGTCGTCAGTACTTTCTTTGACTTGAGGAAGGTTGTCTACACAATGTCGCGTGCTGCACAATAGGCAGGTGTTATCATTATTCTTTTTCCCCCTTCTGAGGAAAGGTTGAAACTAGTTCTGAGTCCACAAACTTGCTTCAAGATATATTTTAAAGTCTGATTCTGCAAGCATACATTGATTAGCGCTTCATGTCTCTGGGTCTACTTGCTAGAGGTGGGGAGTTGGGAGTGTGGTGCTAGATAATTTCATGGAGGTTAGGTCCATAAAAGGCTATTAGCCAGGGGATAAAATGGTGTCCTTGGCCTCTGTTTGTCAGAGGCTGGAGAGGGATGGCAGGAGACAAATCGCTTGATCGTTGTCTTCAGTCCACCCTCTCTGGGGCACCTGTTGCTGGCCACTGTCGGCAGACAGGATACTGGGCTAGAAGGACCTTTGGTCTGACCCAGTACAGCCGTTCTTATGATGCGGGATGGGGGCAACATGCAGCTCGGCTGTGCTGCGCTGGGAAGGGGGCGAGAACTAGAAAGTTGAAAGTGTGGCTCAGCTGGGCTGCTGGGGGAGGAAAGGAGCCATGAGCTGGCAAGGCTGCAGGGGGAGCCAGAAAGCCCGATTGAGGGGTTAGGAAAGAGGTGGGGCTGGAAGCAGGGGAGCCAGAAATGACCTCCTTGGTCCAGCAAAATCCTTCATCTGGGGCCAGTAAGATTCCAAGGGTGCAGGACCTAGGAGGTCCAACCTGTAGTTGTACAAAGACAGCTGCATTGTTTTTTTTGTGTGGGTGTGGAAATGCATACTGCAGACATAATAAATGTTTTATAATGTGGCAGGTCTTGAAGAATTGATGACACTTGAAGAAAAAGCTAAACTCTATGCAGCCATTGGGTATAGTGAAACAACTGTTGATCCAACATTGCCAAAAACAGTAAGTAAGGTTTGGCTAGCTTATCTCATCAGCAAACATTCAAGTATATATTCTATATAAATATAAAAAGCAGTTTGACACTGAAGTACAGTGTCGAAAATGTAATCTCTGCAAAATGCATGGAAAGACACCATAATAGAGGTTCAACTTTGATGTATACTCCAAATTACAAAATCATAGTAAGAGAACCAAAAAAATACCACTGTGGCTTAACAGCTAAGTAAAAACGTAGTGAGAAACAAAAAAGAATCCTTTAAAAAGTGGAAGTTTTAAATCGTAGCGAGGAAAATAGGTGCCTAAACTCTGTCAAACGAAGTATAAAAATATAATTAGGAAGGCCAAAAAGGAAATTGAAGAACAGCTAGCCAAAAACTCAAAAAATAATAGCAAACTTTTAAGTACATCTGAAGCAAGAAGCTTGCTAAGCAACCGGTGGGGCCACTGGACAATCAAAATGCTAAAGGAGTACTGAAGGATGATAAGGTCATTGTGGAGAAAGTAAATGAATTCTTTGCATTGGTCTTCAGGGCTGATGACGTGAGGGAGGTTTCCAAATCTGAGCCATTCTTTTTAGGTGACAAATCTGAGAAACAGTCCCAAATTGAGGTGTCGTGTATCAACTTGTTCCAAAACCGCCTCTAAACAGTAATAATTTACTAGGACCAGATGACGTTCGCCCAAGAGTTAACTCATTTATGAAATTCTGGAACTAGCAACTGCTTGTTACCTACCATTTAAATAATCTTCTGTACCAAATGACTGGAAGATAGCTCATGTGATGCTAATTCTTAAAAAGGACTCTACAGGGGATCCTGGCACTTATAGGCCGATAAATCTAAGTTCAGAATGGGGCAAATTGGTTGAAACTCTAGTAAAGAATAGAATTGTCAAACACAGATGAACATAATTTTTTGCAAAAAGGTCAACACGGTTTCTGTAAAGGGTAATTTTGCATCACCAGTCAACTAGAATTCTTTGAGGGGGTCAGTAAGCCTGTGGACAAGGGGGATCCAGTGGATATAGATTTCCAGAAAGCCTTTGACAAGGTCCTTCACCAAAGACTCTTAAGCAAAGTAAACTGTCATGGGATAACAGGGAAGGTCCACTTATGGATGGTTAACTGCTTAAAAGATAAGAAACAAAGGGTAGGAATAAATGGTCAGTTTTCAGAATAGAGAGTCTTAACTAATGTTGTCTTCCAGGGGTCTGTACTGGGACCAGTCCTGTTCAATATATTCATAAATGATCTGGAGAAAGGTGTAAAACAGGGATACTCAACATGCAGCCTGCAGGCCACATGTGGCCTGTGGCCCATTTGTTTACAGCCTGCGGGGAGTTTTGGGTTTATGTGGGGCTCAACACACGGCCCGCGAGTGGGATCCTTTGAACATGGCCTCCACTGGGAACACTCTCCACAATGGTTAGGTGTCTCCCAGGTAGGGTGAACATTGAAAGACTCAAGCAGAAGGCTGGCTGGAGCAGGTGGGTACAGGGTGTCAGCATTTCTAGCCCCAACAGAGGAGGTGCTGGGAGCACTGGGACATTGTGGTCAGTGCTTTGTATTCATGCCTGTCAGTGTGAAAGAAGCTATTTGCATATATATGCAACCACACTTAAGTTGTGGCCCTCAGCATGTGCTGTGAGTATCATTGTGGACTGTGGGGCATCCAAAGTTGAGTAGCCCTGGTGAAAATAGTGACATGGCAAAATCTGTAGGTGATACAAATCTGCTCAAGATAGTTAAGTCCAAAGCGGACTGTGAAGAGCTTCAAAAGCAGGGGCAGGCAATCATTTTTGCAGGGGAGCCACTTCATGAATTTTATGTGGCCACAGGCTGGCTTCAAGCCCCTCGTAAGAAGGAGGGGTCCCAGGCAGAAAGGGTAGAGCTGGGGCTACAGAGAGAGAGAGAGAGAGAGACACTGTATGTGTGACAGACTTTGATACAGATTGAGTGGGTGTGGCACAAAGACGGAAGAGTGTGTGTGGCAGTGAGTGTGTGTGGGGCTCAGACAGTGTGGCACGAACTGGGTGCGTGTGAGTGACAGTGTGCATGTTCTGGCGGCTGCTGGTAAGTTTCTGAGAAAAGCCACGTTCTGTCTAAAACCTGGAAAGCTGTCCTGTCTTGATAATTGCCTCCTGCTAGGGAGGGAGGGAGAGAACAAACTGAAATTTAAGAAACTGCCTCTTAAGACAGACATGCCTGTGTCACTTACAATCCATACTTCAAATTGGAGCAGTTTCTCTGTGTGTGTTCTCCCCAACCCCTGCTCTGCAAAGAGCGGGTACAGAGACACCTTGACTTCAGCACTCCCCTTCACCCTCTCTCCCAACTCTGCACAGCTAGCAGGAGATCCTGGGATTAGGTCAGCTGCAGGTTGGAGCAAGATGGGTGGAGGGGCAGCTGAACACAAGCTGCCTGCTATAATTATGCATACTTTAATCAGCTGGGCAGGCCAGAGAGAAATGCTTGATAGGCTGAATGCCTGCAGGCTGGATTTTGTTCAAAAAGATCTCCCAAAACTAGGTGACTGGGCAACAAAATGGTAAATGAATTTTAATATTGATAAATGCAAAGTGTAATACACAGGGCTCGACATATCGCTGTATCTACTTGCCCGTGGTGAGTAGATTTCAGCTGGTCGCCCTGTTTGTCCCGTTCACTGGCGCTGCGCGCATGTGCAGTACCAATCTGGCACATGCGTGGTGTGGGGCTGGGGAGTAGATCTCACTGCAGTTTGTCGAGCCCTGGTAATACATATTGGAAAATATGATCCCACCTCTATGTATAATATAGTGGTGACTAAATTAGCTATTTCCACTTGAGAGAGAGTTATTGTGGATACACGTGACCCTATGAACTGTGGGTGTCCCTAATCTGGAAACACCTGTGGTATGGAGGAGGAAGCTGGGGGAACGGCTGCACAGTGATGCACTTTCCATGAGGCTTTTCCTCACTGCTCCCACAGAGGCAGGGGGTGGTGCGTGTGAGTAGCAGTAACATGTGCCCCCAGGAGCAGGATGCCAGATAAGTGCTACACCCTATCCCCCTCAAGACCTGACACCGCAGTCCCTCCCACCCCCCCACCCCCCACCCTATGAACTGTGGGTGTCCCTAATCTGGAAACACCTGTGGTATGGAGGAGGAAGCTGGGGGAACGGCTGCACAGTGATGCACTTTCCATGAGGCTTTTCCTCACTGCTCCCACAGAGGCAGGGGGTGGTGCGTGTGAGTAGCAGTAACATGTGCCCCCAGGAGCAGGATGCCAGATAAGTGCTACACCCTATCCCCCTCAAGACCTGACACCGCAGAACCCCCCACCCCCCCACCCCCCGGCCCAGAAAAATTTTAATCTAGCATTCCCTTTTTCCTAGGGTTGGTGGATTAGAGGTTCAAGTGTAGTTCTCTGAGAACATCCAATCAATGTGCAGTAGCAGTCAAAAAAGCAAACAACGTTAGGAATTAAGAAAAGGATAGAGATAGAGAATATCTTATTGCCTCTATATAAATCCTTGATATGCTCACATCTTGAACACTGTATGCAGATACGGCCTCCAAAAAAGATATCTTGGCATTGGAAAAAGTTCAAAAAAGGGCAACAGAAATGATTAGGGGCATGGACAGCTGCCATATGAGGAGAGGAAAAATAAGACTGGGACTTTAAAGCCTGATAAAGAGATGTTTAAGGGGGGATCTGATAGAGAGCTATAAAATCACAACTTGTGTGGAAAAAGTGAATAAAGAAGAGTTATTTAACATAAGAACTAGGGGTCATCACATGAAATTAATAGATAGCAGGTTTAAAACAAATAAAAGGAAGTACTACTACTTCAAGGACTGTCCCTGTGGGTGCTCCACCGCCGCTGAGCCCTGGATGGAGATCTTTTACAGCAGTACCCCTGGCCGGCTGCGCACACAGGGAGCTGGTGTGTGTTCTATACAGGCTACTGCACATACTACCGCCCCTCCCAGTTCCTTCTCTACTGCTGCTGGCTTTGGTGACAGCTCCAGCAGTCTCCCTCTAAGCCTTATCTTATCTACTCTGGAAATAGTTACCTTAGCAGTTAGCCACTTAAGTTTAGTCAGTGTTAAGTAGTTTGTTTAGATAGTTTAGAAGAAGAAAAAACAAACAAACAAAAAAGATAGTCTTGCTGTGGACTGGACTTGATGACCTCTCGAGGTTCCTTCCAGTACTAGCCTTCTATGATTTTATCATTCTGTGATCGTCAAGAACAGCTCTAGGTATCATAGGCAGCGAGCACTATGGCCCGGGGGCCTGGCTCCACCAGAGTTCAGGGCCAGGTCTCTCCCTCAAGCCCTGCCTGCCACACGCTTTCCCCTCACCCTGACCCCCGCACATCATCTGCCATCCACCAGCACTTTAAAACAGCCTGGAGGTCAGTGTTCCCTGTAAGTTGTGCACTTGTGTGGCAGCTTAGGAGAGAGTCAGATGCCACCCAACTGATTAGCAGAGTGCCCACAGCTAAGTTTTTAGTTTCTTCTGGTGGTGCACATGCACACATGCTTCAGTGCACATAAAATATATTCCACACCTAGACGGAAGAGATTAGAGGGAATATTTCAAGGGGTCAGTGCAGCAGGGCTAGAGTGTCTTCCTGCCATTTACTCCATGCCAGCATATGCATCTTTGGTGCTTGTGGAGGCTGGGTTTTCGTGCCCTGCTGTTGTCGCAACTGAACCTGCGGCCAATGGGAAGCTGCAGTGGTAGAGCCTGTGGGCTATAGCATGTACAGGGACCACCAATGGCCCTCCTAGCAATCACTCATAGACCAATTAAATAATTCATGTAGGAAGGTCCTCTTTTCATAAGCTTTTATGAACTTTTCCTAAGGACATCTAGTAAGTGTACACTCACAATCTCACTACATTCATTAACTCACAAACATTTACCTTCCTTCCCCCTCTCCCCCCGCATCCCCCATCTGTTCTGAAATGTGAATTGTCCTTTTCATATGTGTTCATTTTTTTAATTGTATCCCTT